GTGGCATTGATCCAGAGCCCAACTGAAGCCTATCTCTGTGGCAGCTTCTCTCAACAGGCAGCTGGGCTTCAGTGCCTCACATTGGGGCGCCACCCCAGGCCGTGTCAGTCAAACTGCCCATGCTACAGGCCGAGATCAGGGCCTGGCCCCGTTCTGAGGGCCGCCCGGTTTTGAGTTATTCTTCGATCATCTAACTCTGCTAAATTTAATTTGTCTGAGGGCTTTCCTTTTAGCAGTAGGTAAAACCTGATGTAAGGCATCAGCATTCTCACAAAACAGTTCGTTCAAAACAGTAAGAGCAGCAGAGTGCAGAGCCTTCCAGGCCAGCCTGCAACTGAGCTCCTTGGAGACAGGGACTGCCCCTAGCCAAACTCCACCACTGCTGTGCAGAGCAGAACCCAATATGGTCTAATGGAACCCTCAGGACACAGGGAGGGACAGGAGACGTCCATGACCACCACTGCTACTGAAGGATAGGGCTGCATCAAGATCCTGGCCCACTCCATCCCCAAGGCCACCATCAAACAACCTGGCTCCTCACTCCTCCTCCTAAAATATGCTTTGAGGCTTCTGAGCCTTGTGTCCAGAAGTCAGGGTCTGAATTGTAGGCATCTGTCGTCTGGGACCTCAGAGCCCCCACTGAGGCTGAGGAGCAGTAGTTCAGTCAGGAGCATGGGGAGTGTGGGAGGTTCTGCCCAGCTGGGGACATCAGGAGGCCAAGGCACATCCTCCCTCCACTCCCTCATTGTAGGTCCCAGGCTGGGCCCGGCATGCTGTTCCCAAAGGCCACTGGGACCTTACAACCCCAGGGCTCCTACATGAGGGTCACCTTCCTGAGACACAGACAAGCCCCTGCTGCTGTCCCTCAAGGCTGTCTGTGAGCTGGCCTCCCTGACCATGGGAGTCACCTAACTTTGTCCTGGTCTTCATCTTGAGACCTGAGCAAGTCCCAGCTCTTACAGAGGAGACAAGGATACGCCACCAAGGTGGCTCCCTCACTGGCTCAGTAGGGCTTGCCCTCCCCATGGTCATCAGAGCAGCCAATAGTGAAGGACTTGGGTGGGAGGTGCTGGGTCCCTCAACCCCATCCAGTAGGACTGTGGCCTGAGGCACCTTACCTGAGGTTTTACCACCTCAGTCCATGTGGAACATCCCCACAACTCTGTCTCCTGGCTGTGCGGTGTAGACACTGCCATGAGGCCCTGTGCCTGGGGCTGGCTGCTTCAGTAGCTGCTGCCCCGCTTCTACAGCCTACAGCTTCTAGTTTACGAAGTATCCCCAGCATGGAGCCCTGCCCCAGCTCAGAGCCCTGTCCCTCTCCACAGCTGATCCTGCCTTCCTTCCTGGGTCTGAGGGCCAAGCCACCCCCTTCTAGGCCTCCACTGGCCCTGCCCTGGTGGGGTGCAGGTGTGGGGTGCAGGCCTAGGCAGAAGATGCTGCCTGAAGACCTGAGACAGTGAGGGAAGATGAGGGTCAGCCCAAGAGCTGACCTATGACAAAGTCCCACAGCAGAATGCAGGTCTTCCTCTTAGGCAGGAAGCAGCCTCCTGCCTTTCCAATTCTTCGGCCTTCCTCTCAACTGCAGAGTGCCCAGCATAATTATTTTTAGACTCTTACCACGTTTAGGGAGGGAGATTGATGTCTACAAGGTGCCATAAATGCCCCTTGCCTGTGCATTTTCCAAGGGGGATGCGAGTAGTCCACACAGCTGTGGGGAACACTAGAGCTGAGCCTTGACCGGCCTCCCCAGAGAAGCAGGGGCTGAGCTCTCCGCTGGTTGGGCAGCAGCAGGCTGTCCAGTCCCAGGGAGCCACGTGAGGCCAGAAGACCAGGTGCCTCTGCTGTCCCCCCAGCCCCACCACTAAGGGCTCAAGGCAAGGGGACTCTGGGTTGATGTGTGGGGCTGAAGGGGTTTAGGGCCTAGAGGGTTCAGGGGCACAGAGGGTTCCTGGAGTGTGGAACAGCTGAGGCTGTGGTGAGTTTCCTTCATGGGTTCACGGGAGGAAAGGGGGCGAACCTTTGACCCACCCACCACAGCTGCCTCTAAGTTCAGGTTCTAGAAAAGAAGCGGCTGGTGTCTGCTGGGAACCCACACATCACTTCTGAGAGTACACTCCCCTACCCGCCCCCAGGGGAGGGGGGTCTGGGCTCTGCTTCAAGAAGGGAGCCTTAGCCAGAACTGGGAAAGGGTCAGTGCAGAAAGGGTAGAGGGAGTGCAGCAGGGAGATGAATGTGAGGGCTGGCACATCTGCAGCCCACATCTGTCCTGAAGGCCTACTCAGTGCAGACACAGAGGCTCCCCCCTCCCCCAACACTGCTCCTATCAACTGTTGCAGATGATGTGGCTTTCTTCAGAGTCTCCCTAAAACTCTCAACCCATGTTCTTGGGGGATGGCACAGGTCTGGATCAGACACTCTGGTGTCCCCAGAGGCCAGGATGGGGCTACACGTGTCCCCAAGGACAGGAGGCTACAGCCCAGCCTCATCCCTGCCCCTTAATCAGCTGCCTCACGGGAGGGAGAATGAGAAGCCAGAGTTCCTGGTCCACAGCCAGCACAGAACTATGACCCCAAGGTTGCTGCTGCCAGAAAGGGGGATGTGACTCACAGGCCCTGAGTGAGGAAGGACCAGAGCCTTGCAGCTTCCCCAGAGGTCCCAAGCCAGGCAGTGAAGGCCAGACAAGAGCATCAGGCGCAGGGTCTGCAGGCAGGGAGCTGCAAACAGGGAACCAGGTGATCTCAATGCCTCTAGGAAGCCTCTGCCGGAAGAGAGGTGCAGCCAGGGACAGAGGCCCTTTAGGACCAAGGGTCTGACGTGGCTCTTGGGCACCACCCTGAGGAACACTAGGCTGAGCTCTAGGACTCTCAGAGGACACATCCCCACCCTGGACAAGGCTGACTCCCCTGGGTCTGCTCAAGACGCCATGTGGGGGGAGGGGGAGGCTCCTGGGTGGGGTTGGGGTTCACACAGGAGGCTCCTGGGTGGAGTTGGGGTTCACACACACTGAATTGGCTGATTCCCACCCAGGTTGAAGTCAGAGCTGAAGGAAACAGGTGTCCGCCATCATTGGGTAGGCTGTTTGATCCCCACCCAAAGGCCATCATCCCTGGCCGAGCTGGACCAGAACCAGCAGCCTTTTCCTGTGGGGCTGAGAACAGCATGTGCCTGATGTGGAAGGGGTCTGAGCAGAGCTGGGGACGATGTGCACCTCCCACAGTTTGTGCTGTCAGTGAAGCCAGGATGGTTACAGCAGTGCCCCCTAGAGTTCCCAAATGTTGCTGTCACTGTCCAGAAATTCTCACAAGCTCTGCCCTGGGTGTGTGGCTCTGCCAGTTATTTCCCCACCCAGGGGAGGAAGGTCTGGGCCCTGCTTCGAGACAGGACAAGGAGAGGGTCAGCTGCACAGAGGGTGGAGGGAGCCCAGTAAAGAACTCCCGTCGAGGGTTTTTAGGAGGTCCCTCCCAACTAGGCTTCCCAGGCTGGCTGAGTCTGGGCCCATTGGGGGTGGGGTTGCGAGCCCACTGCTCCCTACAGGACCCCCTCCCAGGTCAAAGGGCCCCTGGAGGAAGCAGCTGGTGCCTGGAGGTTAGCACATGGTCTATAGAGGGTGAGACCAGCAGGACTCTCCCAGAAGGGGTGACCCTGGCTTGGGAAGAGACCTTGGCTGTAGGGACTTGGAGAGGGGCTGAAAGTGTGGGACGGCAGGAGGCTGGGCAGGTGCCCAGTGCTGGGAAGGAGGACAGTCCTGGAGGAGGCAGAATGTGTAGCACCCTCACAGCTGAGGCAGGAGGAAGTGCCTTCCCAGAAGCCCAGAAGGGACTATGTGTGCCAGGTGTTGTCCTTAGCCTTTGTGAGTCCTGGCCCTGGATGGTCACCTCATCCTAGGAGAGAGCTGAGGTCAGACAAGTAATGCGGGAACCAGGGCTCAAAACTCTCCAGGCAGCCCCTGGAGACTGGCCATTCTCCTGCCCCCTACTGATGGTTGGAGAAACTGAGGCCTAGGCAAGTTAAAGAGCTGGCTCAAGCCACAGAGCAGGCAAACTGCCCAGGGCTTGACACTGACCCGGTTCCAGTCCAGTACCCAATGCCTCACACATGCCTCAGGAGAGGGTACATGCCTAACACTGACTCTGCCATCTGCAACCTCCCAGGAGCTTGCCAATCAGGTGTCCTCAGGGAGAGATCTGAGGTCATCAAACTAGTCCCTGAGGAGTCCAGGGGCTCATGCAGTGAATGCTGGAGGTCAGGTGGCTGGAACTGATGGCTTTCCCAGGCAGAACCCAGGGAGAACCCAGGCCAGAAAGGCTGAAGCCAGTCCCAAAAGGCTCCCTGCCTCTCTGCCAACTCCTGCCCAGGTGCAGAGGCCCAAGGACCAGAGGATCGGCCTTCATCAGCCTCATCAGTGGTAGAGGTACATCCTTGAGAGACTAGAGGCTATAATGTCAGGGGAAAGTCATGCACCAACCTGTGAGATTGAAACGTGGGGAGGTCTTTCTGGGGAGGTAACTCATAAAGAGACTAAGGGAAAAGTGGGAGAACAGCCTGGCCAAGGAAGAGGGAGCCAGGCAGTAGGAGTCAGGGCCAGCAGGATCACAGACAGGAAGCAAGAGGACGAGCGTCCTTCAGAACTGCAGCCGGACACGCAGTGTTCTCACAAGCACAGCATGACACCACTCAGGTAGAAGGCGCCTGGCTCCTACCCATCAGATAGAGCCCCCAGCCCTTGTGGTAGGACCAGGTGGCTCCTGAGGCCACCTTATGTAGCCCCTGAAGGCAATAGGAAGAGCTCAGATGGACAGGATGCTCAAAGCCAACACAATGACTTCCCTTTCCCCTCTAGCCCCAGAGGTCCTGGAGGGAAGCGATGTCCCTGGCCTGGCGCCTGCAACTGGGGACCAGAATGAGATCCATTGTTTGAGGCTACAGCGGCGGGGGCTACGGAAAGCCCCCAGTAATACCCTTCGTCCCACTTACTGCAGACCCAGAGCCCCAAGCGAGGACCACCAGTGGACAGAGCAGACTCCGGCAGGATGAAGGCGTACAGGGCTGTCCTCCTGGTCCTGCTGCTGTGTGGACAGCCAGGTGCGGGGCACTGAGAGACTCAAGGAGGGTTTGTAGGAAAGTGAGGGAAGGTGCTGACTTCTGTCAACCTGTTTCCTCTTGTATAAAGTGGGTAGGGTATGGAAAAGTGGCCATGTTGGGGCCGGGGGCTTAGCACTCTGTCCCAAGCTTGTATTCTGCATCTGGATAACAAAGGCTCACGGTGTCCCTGTACCACCAGGGAGCAGGTGGGCACAAGAAGAAGATGGCGATGGGGACTTGGGGTCAGAGAGCTATGGCTACGATGATGATGATGATGATGAAGAGGAGGAAGAGGAGACCAACATGATCCCTGGAAGCAGGGACAGAGGTATCCCACCCCAGCTGAGGGCCCAGCTTCCTGATCTACACAGGGCATTCCTCCAATACTCACCTCCCCTCCCTAGCTGCTGTCATCCAAACCCGGGCCCCCCCTGCTGGCCTGCTGGCTCACCCCTCAGGCTGCAGCCTTCTCCCTAAGCAGAGGACTGCCCCCAACACCCCCACCCCACACCCCCACCCCACACCCCACTTACCTGTTTCCTTAGCCCAGAGCCTGGGCTTCCTCTGTCAGACCCACCCCCCAGGGTAGCAGCCTCAAGGAGTGCCACCCACTGAGGACCAAGAAGGGAACAGCTAAGGGAAATTCACCCTTCTGACCCCCATGCTCTGAACTGCCCTTCGAAAACCCAAGGCACAGGCTTCTTCAGGAGGGCTAACAGGCAGCTGATGGTGGGGGCAGGGACGGGGATGGCCTTGGAGGCCCGCCCTCAGCTTAGGCTGCCCTGCTGCCCACAGTACCCCTACAGTGCTATGTCTGCCAGATGTTACACAGTGGAGAGAACTGCAACCAGACCCAGAGGTGCTTCCACAGCCAGCCCTTCTGCACCATGGTCATCTCCCACGGCCACACTGGTGAGCAACTAGGGCAGCACACCCAGGCAGGGGTCAAAGCGGGAGCCTGCACATCCACACCCAGGCCCCACCCTCACACCACTTGTTCTCCACACGCCCTAGATGCAGGTCTCCTGACCACCTACTCCATGTGGTGTACGGATGTCTGCCAACACATCATCAGGACGGTAGCAGGCACCCAGATGACCAAGACTTGCTGCCAGTCCACCTTGTGCAATATTCCGCCCTGGCAAAGCCCCCAGATCCAGAACCCTCTGGGTGGAGGGGCAGAGAGCCCCCTGGGTGGAGGGGCAGAGAGCCTCCTGGGTGGAGGGGCAGGCAGCCCCCTGGGTGGAGGGGCAGAGAGCCCCCTGGGTGGAGGGGCAGAGAGCCCCCTGGATGGTGGGGCAGGCAGCCCCCTGGATGGTGGGGCAGGCAGCCCCCTGGGTGGAGGGGCAGGCAGCCCCCTGGGTGGTGGGGCTGGCCATCCTCAAGGTGGCAGGGCTGGCTACCCCCAAGGTGGTAAGACTGTCCACCCCCAGGGTAACAGGGGTAGCTGGCCCCAGGGTGGCAGGGCCAGTCGGCCCCAGGGCAGTGGAGCAGGATACCCCCCAGGATGGTCTAAGTATGGAAGTCCAGCCCTCCTGCTCTGTGTCCTCACCAGCCTCTGGGCATCAGGGGCCTGAAGACCCTCTCACCAGGACACCCTGACCTTCCCTCCCCGATGACCAGCTTCAGAGAATAAACTTGAAAGTCTCTTGCAATCCAGCCAGCTGCAGTTCCTATAGCCAGCGTCTGTCTTCAGTTCCACCCTCAGGCCTTCTTGGCTTCCTCTCTTCCCTACCCATGGGCAGCAGCTGGTTAGCATGGGGCCCCAGGGATATTCAGCCTCCAGGGAACCCACCTACCCAGTCATACCAAGCCTGGAAGACCCATCCTCATTCTGAACTTTCCTGTATAAAATTCTTCCCCCAGAGCTGCCATTGAGTCAGTTCAGCCCTTTCCCAGGTGTGGGGTGCAGGGTCAGCCTCCACCAACCTGGAGGAAGGAGGCTTTGGAGGGAGGCCAGGGAAGTTGTAGGGCTAGGGTAGGGCAAAGGGAGGGTTGCAGCTAAGGAAGGAAGGAGGCAGAAAAAGGGAGGCAGGCCCAACTACTGAGAGGGCATTTCCCAGCGTCACTCTAACCCAGGGATCCATCTCCTGCACTCCAGACCTTCCCTCCTAGCCTGGGTCTCAGGGAGAAGGCTGGGAGCCCTAAATGGGCAGCAGTCCTGGGGAAAGGCAGGAAGGGCCCATGGGCTCCTAGGGAGAAATGGGTGGCAGAGCCAGGGCACCTCCCCTAGCTGAGAAAGGCCTCTAGCTGTTGGGCAAGTAGGCATCTCCTTGGTTGGCGGGGGGCCTGGCTGCTTGGCAGGTGGGCACCCCCTCTGGCTGGGTGGGGTCCCTGTCGACTGGACACTTGGCTTCCTTGATGGCACCAAGCTTTCAGCAGCAGCTGGTGTCAGGGCAGAGCTCTGGGGTGGGAGGAGGAAGGCTGAGCCTGGGCCTCAGTTTCCCCACTGTACAGTAAGGAACGAGGCTTACAGGACTCCTCGGACCCCAGCAGGTTAATGTTGCTTCCATCTGGAAGTCTAGATCGCTTGCAGTGAGAGACCCCTATGATCCGCTGTCTCTCCTTTCAACCTCAGTGCCTAGCCGAGGATGAGAACAGAGCCCCTGAGTAGAGGTGGCTCTGGTCTCTCTCTCCGCTTCCTCCTTCCTGAAGCGATGAAACGATGACTTGAGCTCAGCGGCCCTTTCTACTGAGGCAGCTCCCTGAGGGCAACATCATGGAAGGTTCTGGACTACCCATGAACAGTCAGCATCACACCACCTACCACCTCCCTCAGGATACTCTCCTAGGAGGCAAATAAACTCCCGTATGGAAGCCATGTCTGGTTTTCTTGCCCTTTCACATGTGTTCACACATGCACAGCCCTGTACACTGGTGTTCAGTTCGGGAGTCAGACTGCCTGGGCTAAGATCTGCAGTACACTTTGCCATGATGCCTGGGAACCACAGCCAGCTCATCTCCTCTGTGAGGTGTGACTGTAAGAGAGCCTCTTTGCAGCGCCGACTCCCTGAAATGCTCCGAGTCTGGCAGGAGCAGGTGCTCAGTAGCAGTGGGCTGCTGCTGGCCACACCCTTAGGACTGCAGCTCCATCAGACCCACTGGGGTGCGTGTTCATGGCAGATGCCCCACCTGTGCCAGCTCTGGCCTCTCCAGACCAAAAGAACCCTCATTAGCTTCCCCAATTTAGAAACACCGGGTGCTATTAACCTCAGTCGGAAGCCACTGCCGTGGGGCCTCCCCTGCCCTGGGCTCCTGCCTCAGTGACGGTCTCTTCCAGGTCTCCGCACTAACAACCTACACTAACTCTCCCCAACACAGCCAGTCCTGCTGCCCACCCCCAGCATGCTGTCCTGAGCCACTGAGGCTCTGAGGCAGAAGGGTGTGCTCGTGACAGTGGGCATGGTCAGAGCCCAGCTGGCAGGGAGGCAGGGCAGCTCAGACTGGAGGCTCTGGCTCAAGGTCACATGCTGGTGGCTGCAGACCCAGGATCCATGCCGAGGGTCTTCTGTTCCCTGAGGGATGTCACCACAGGCTGTCAGGTCAGGTGAAGGCACCAAGGGGGCTTGGAGCTGCTGCTGCAGGGGTAGTGGAGCCAGATACTGCAGAAACCCACTGGGTTCCCACAGTCTGGGCCAGGCAGGTCAGAGGCACCAATCACAACCAAGACATCCTACACCCTGTCTCAGAGTCCAGAGCAGGAAGCCATCCCAATAATGAACAACAGGATGTGAGGGAGGGGTCATGCCTGCCCCTCCAACCCCGGCAACTGGGAGGTGGGCTAGTTCTTGGCTGGTCTGGGTCTTGGAGAGGTTCCCATCTGGGTCAGTTTCCTGAGGCTGATGGAACAAACCACAGACTCAGTGACTTCACCACAAGACCAAGTTCATGCTGCAGTGCCGGAGGAGGGTGCTGACAGGACCTCACTACATAGCCCAGACTAGCGTCAAACTTGCAATCCTTGACTTCAGGGTCCTGAGTGCTGGTTTTGGATCTTTTTAAAAAATATTTTATTTATTATTTTTATTTTATGTGTACGAGTGTATTGCTTGCATGTATGTGAGTGCATCTGTGTAGTACAATGCTGCAGAGGTCAGAAGAGGGCTTTGGATTCCCCTGGAACTGGAGTTAAGGACGGTTCATAGCCGCCATGTGGGTGCTGGGATTTGAACCCGGGTCCTCTGCAAGAGCGGGCAGTGCTCTTAACCACTGAGCCATCTCTCCAGTCCCTAGTTTTGGATCTTGAAGATCCTCAGAGGTCTGGGCATTGAAAGCTTGGGCAGCAGCATGTGGCACTGTTGTGAAGTAGTGGGACTTTTAAGGGAAGGGACCTAGTGGGGTGTGCCTTTGAAGAGAACAGCAGAGAGCTCCTGTCCTCTCTGCTCCCCTCCCCTCCTCTGTCTCTCCTCTCCCTCCTCCTCCCTTTTTCCTCTCTGTCTCTCTGTCTGTCTTTCCTCTCCTCTCTCTTCTCCCTCTCTTCCTCTCATCTCCCCTCCTTAGCCACCATGTGGTGACAGACCTCCACCACATACTCCTATCAGGATGTGCTACTTTCTTACAGGCCCAAAAGCAACAGGGCCAGGAGACCACATTCTAAAACCATAGATTAAATATGTCTTTTCACCTTTTGACCATTAGTCAGCTTTCCAATCACTGTGGTAAAATACATGAGATAATTTGAAAGGAGGAAGGGGGTGACTGGAGAGACGGCTCCTTCAGTAAAATGTTTGCCACACAAGCATGCGGACTCAAGGGCACCCACATAAAAGTCAGGCACAGCAGCATGTGCCTGTAAGCCCATCACTGGGGAAATAAAGACAGGAGGCTCCCTGGGGCTCAGTGGTCAGTCATTCTAGCCAAATGAGCAAGCTCTAGGTTAGTGAGATACCCTGCCTCAAAAAATAAGATGGAGAAGCAACCAAGAGAGAAACCTGATGTCAAACCTCTGGTCTACACGCAGCTGCACACACACATACCCATATGTGAACATGTACAAATATACATTAAAAAAATAAAGAAGGGCCTCAAGATGGCTCAGTGGGTAAAGGCACCTATCACCGAGCCTGACCACCTTAGTTCAATCCTGGGACTCACACGGTAGATGGGAGGGAACTGACTCCCACAACTTGTTCTCTGACCTCCACTCCCATGCATGCACCTACACACATGTACACACTCATGGCACATGCATGCATACAAAATTAGTAAATTAAAATGTAATAAATGGTTTTAAAGAGGAAAATGAAATCCTACTTTGGCTCAGAGTTTCAGAGTTTCAGTTGTGGACAGTCAGCCCCCTCACCCTGGGCTGGTGGTGAGGCAGCACATCATGGCAAGAATACATGGCAGGAAACGGACAGTTACCTCAGGGTAGCCAGGAAGCAAAGGAGGTGAGGGGACAGGGGCCTCAATATTACCTTTGTTATGTGAACTTTTCCTGGGGGACCCAAACAAGCACCTACTCACCCCAGATAGAGCATCAACCCATTCCACCACTGTAGAAATGAGTTCATTGTGCTTACTTACCAACCATGAGTAAGGGGTTAAGCATCAAAAAGTCTCACCCCACACAGATGATGACTCTCCACAACTGCATAGATTCAATCTGTCCTTCAATTTCCCTTCCACAGTTGAGATACTCCAACATCTCTCAAGACTCCAAGGCCTTGTGCAATTAGGCAGAGGCGTAGGCAAGAACGACTGAACTCTTGGCTGAGGGTCTGATGACTCCCTTCAGCCCTCCCTTCTAATGAGGGAGGGTCAGAGGCCTGCTCTTAAGGGTCACTCATGAGCAGTCAGCTGTATCTGATGGAGATGTGACAGCTGCTGTGTTTGGAGGACAGTGTTCTACAGGCACATCCCGATAACCTATTTCCTCCCGCTAAACCTTGCCTCCTAACCTTTCTACCTCTCCCAACAATATGAACAGGGGGCAGCTAAGCTTTGAACATGTGACCCTTTGTGGCGGATTAAGTGTTCAAGTTGGGACATTATCTAGAGCATTCTGTCACAACAGAAAGCTAACAGGTGTCTAAAGTTGAGGTGGCACAGGCTGTGTCCTTCTGAGAGAGTCCCTTCCTGGCCTTGTCCAGCTTCTACTGGATCCCCACCCCTCCCTCCATCTTCAAAGAGTGCATTTCCTGTAATGCTTCCCTCTCTGCCTTCTGTAGCCAAGCCACCCCTGCCTTCCTCTTCTGAAGACCCTGTGACTACATTTACGGTCCACCTGAGCCACCCAGAACCGTCTCCAACCTCGGACTCTCAACTCGCTCTTATCTGCAGTCTCTTTGTCATGTGAGGTAACATCACAGGCTGTAAGGGCCAAGACATGGATGTGTTGGGGAAGTTTCTGAACTAGCCTCAGACCCTGCCCCCACCCAGATGAAGAGGAAAACTAACACTGAGGAAGGAAACTAAAATTAACCGAGAAAAAAACAAAAACAAAAACCCAGAGCAGGTGACCTGAGAAACCAGCCCTCGCACTGGCTTAAGAAGACGGCTTCCAGTTTACCTAGGAAACCAATCAGCCCTCTTAAGAAAACAGATGTACGTTTAACCTTTGCTTTTGGTTCTGTAA